CCGCCTAGCCCTCCGCCCCGCGCCCTGTCGCCCGCCCCGCCGGCGCTCGCCTCAGCCGCCCCGCGCCTCCATGTTCCCCGCGCGCCCGCGGAGGGGCGGAAGGAAGCGTCCGACCGCGCCGGGAGGGGGTCTGCCGCCGCCCCGGGGGTCTCCGCCGCGCCCGCCCCTCCCCCACAGCCACCCCCGGCGCCTCCGCGTTTCCCTTTAAAAAACGGAGCCGCTCGCCGTCGCCGCCGCTGCCGCGGGCCGCAGAGCGCATGCGCGAGGAGGGCCGGGCTGGCGGGGAGGCGGGAAGAGGGAGGGGCCGCGCTATTGTGCAAGGGTCCGCCCGGCCGGGGGCAGGGGCGGCGGAGGCCTCTCGGGGCACGGGGTCCGCCTGGGGTGGCGATGTCCTGAGCACCCCGCCCTGCGTGGGCACGGAAGGCCCGGTGCCCCCTGGGCCCCTGGGATGTAGGGCCTTGTGGGCGCCCTGCGCTGCCCACCGGCCCAGGAGAGAATCGGCCCTTTGTCCCCAAGGATCCAGACCAGAAACCCCGCAGCAGCCTCTAGGGTCCCGGAGGCAGGACAGTCCCTGAGGTGTGCGGCCCGGGGAGTGGAGGCAACAGCGTCCATTGGAGGAATTGCCAGCTCCCCACATTCCCTCCCCAGGCCACCTGCCGGCACGCTGAGCCGCGCTGTAGAGGGGGAAGGGCCTCTGGAAGGGTTTCCCCCTTCACGGGGAGTTGAGGACTTCGGGTCATCTCTTGGAGCTCTCCTTACTAGTTATGTGGGCTCAGTTTTCCTTTTTCCTTTTTGTCAGGGTCTCAATATGTTGTCCAGGGTGCTCTTGAACTCACTACACAGCCCAGACTGGCCCCCCCCCAAATCCCAGCGATCCTCCTGCTTCAGCCTACCGGTCTCTGGGTTCACAGGCCTTGGCCACCGTACCTGACCTGGTTTCCAGGCTCCTTTTGCGTGTGTGTGTGTGTGTGTGTTCATTTCCAACCAACTTTAGCAAGCAAGTGCTCACAGAGTTTCCTCGTTGTAGAAAAAGATTTTTTTAAGTTTAATTGGTTTTCTTTTTTTCCAAGTGTGCTTTTAAAAATCTATAGGTAGGGCCAGGATTTAGCTCAGTGGTTCCGGCGCCTGCCTCACAAGCACAGGGTCCCGAATTTGATCCCCGGTACCAAAAAAAAAAACCACCAAAAAACAACTAGGCAAACTGAGAAGACTTAACACTCTCTGGCCTGATGCAAAAGTCTCCAATTAAAACTGTCTCTGATTAAAAAAAAAAACAAAACCCAAAACCAAAAATCTGTCTCTGTCTTATGAGGCCAAAGCATGAGGCCCTGGAAAGAGAGGGTGAAGTCAAGAAGGCCTCAGGCCTGTCCACCAGACTCGTGCCTCACGTCTGCAAGGAACCGGTGGTCTTCCCGACCAGAGGAATCAACGGTGGAGGGAGGGAGGCTTGTGGAATGGAATTTTGGGCAGTGTGAAGACTTTGTAGACCACTGTACACTGACTGAGGAGGCTCCCAAAGGGTGTCTTCCTGAACTCACCCGCTTCCTCAAAGTCTTATCTGTACCCAGCTGGGTGTCTCATTGCCTTTTTTTTTTTTGGTACCAGGGATCGAACTCAGGTCCTTGTGCTTGCGAGGCAGGCGGCAGAACCACTGAGCTAAATCCCTGGCCCTCATTGACTTTTTTTAGACAAGGTCTCGATGTGTAGCTCAAGCTGACCTTGAGCTCACTATGTAGCCCATGCTGGCTTCGAACGCCTCAGACTCCAGGGTGCTGGGATGACAGGTGTGCGCCACCACACCCAGCAATACTTCAAACCTACATCTAAAATCAAGTTCCTGATCCAAATCATGGCACAAAAATTAAAAAATAAAATCAAGTTCCTGAATTCCATCCATCCAAATTCTTCCTCTCTTTTTCTGACACCCCATATCCCATAAGCTAGCCAATCCTATTGCCCTTCATAATACGTATTTAGGCCACGGATATAGTTCAACAGCGCAGCGCCTGCCTGGCGAGCTCAAGGCCATGAGTTTGATTCCCAGTACCAAAAAATTAAAAAAATATATATATATGATATCCAAAATCCTACAGCTTCTCAACAACCTCCATAATTTCCACCATGGTTTAAGCTACAAGCTTTTTCTTTTTTTAATCGAAGTATCCATTTAATTGGTCTCTTGGTTCCAACCCAGACCTTCTCCGCCTCAGTCTGCTCTTAGCAGCCAGATGAGGTAGCTGAGTTCATGGTTTTTTTCTGCCCCAAACTCTCACACGGCTTCGAATCTCACTTAGAGCGACTGGAGCCAAAGTAAAATCAACTATCTGCATGGTCTGTAGGCTTTCCACCCCCAGGTATTGCTTGCTCTCTGGCTTAGCTGTTCCTGCTCTTTTTTTTTTTCTGAGACAGAATCTGGCTATGTACTTCAGGCTGGCTTTGAACTCACTACATAGCCCAGGCAGACCTTGAACTCAAAGTGATCTTCTTTCCTTAACCTCCAGAGTCTTGAGGTTACAGGTGTGTACCCCCGTGCCTGACAGTCATATAATATTAATATAAAAAATAATGAAGGGGCCGGGGATTTAGCTTAGTGGTTCCACCGCCTGCCTTGCAAGCAGAAGGAACCAAGTTCGATCCTCGGTACCAAAAAAACAAAACAAAACAAAAAAAAAAACAGGTAAGAGCCAAAGCTCTGGAGCCAGGTGTGGTGGTGCATGACAGCAACTCCAGAACTTGGGAGGCTGAAACAGGAGGATCACCATGAGTTTGAGGCCAGCTGGGGCTACAGAGTGAATTCAAGTCCAGCCTGCACAGCATACTGAGACCCTGTCTCAAAAATCCTAAATAGTGCCTGCTTGGCAAGCGGAAGGTCCTGAGTTAGATTCGCAGTACTGGAAAAAAAAAATCCTAATAAATGAGATAGCCCATTTATAGTGTGTATTGTAGTTATGTGGCACCTTACTATTTTTTTCCTTCAACATCGGGGATTGAACCCAAAATGTTCACACTGAGCTAAATCCCCAGCCCTTATTTTTCATTTTGAAGACAGAATCTCACTAAGTCACGAAGTTGCCTGGGCTGACCCAGAACTTGCAGTTCCGCTGGTTCAGCCTCCTAGAGCTACAGGATTACAGCAGTGTGATGCCTCATTAGTGTCAATCAGCAGAATGTATGTGGGGGGGAGGTGGAGGAGAGGGAGGAGTTTATGGTCAAGATTTGTAAGCAGAGTAGGTGGCAATTCCATGAAAAGGTTACCTGTGTGTTCTTCCTCTCCAGACCAAGTGTGGTCCCAAACCAGCATTATTAGCATTGGCGGGGAAACTTGCTGTATATTCAAATTAGATAAGCAAATCTTCCCGGACCTCACAATCACAAACTTTGCCAGGGGATTTGGCAGTCACTGTTCTAAGGAGCCAAGTGATTCCATCCGGTGCCCTTGGACTTGAAAAACACTGCTCGGGAGTGCACTGTCACACCTTTTTTTCCCTCCCCTTTTCCAGTGCTGGGATGGAAGCCAGGCCCCTGTCCATGCTAGGTCAGTGCGGGGGTCACTGAGGAGCAAAGCTTCCAGCCCTGCCTACTATTCTTTTTCTTTTTTCTGGTTCTGGGGATCGAACTCAGGACCTTGTGCTTGTGAGGCAGGTGCAGTGCCACTGAGCTAAATCCCCAGCCCCTGCCCACTATTCTTAAAGGACCACAGAGCGACTTCGAGGGCCTTGGGACCTTTTTTGCACTCCTCAGTTCCGCCACTGTGGTCCAAAAGAAGACCCTCACTCCCCACCTGGCTAGTTGAGGGTGGAGCTTTCACCTACCAATCCAGAGGCCAAGAGTTTGATCCCCAGCACCACCAAAAGCAAAAGGAAACAAGCAGCCTCGGTAAAGGACATGAATGTGGCCCTGGACCAGTACAACCTTATTATATGAAATTTAATTTTCATGTCATTTAGTATTTTTCTTTTTTGGTACCAGGGATCAAACTCAGGACCTTGCACTTGCGAGGTAGGCGCCGGAACCACTGAGCTAAATCCCCAGCCCATCATTTAGTATTTTTAAATTTTCAACTACTTAATAGGTCTTAGAGCCAGGAATGGTGGCACACAGTGTGATCCCAACACTCAGGGAGCTGAGGCAGGAAGATCATCGCAAGTTTGAGGTCAGCCTGGGGTACAGAGGGAGTTCAAGGCCAGCCTGAACTAGTTTCTAGTTTCTCACTAGAAACTGCCTCAAAAAACAAACAGAGGTCTCAATAAGGGGAAGACAAGGCCGAGGACACCGTGTTTAGGGGCCATAAACCAAGTCCCTAAATAATGCTCTATCTTATCCCAAATGGGATAACGCATCGTTTTTGCCTTCTGGCTAAGGGTGAGGATAAAGCCAACCCTTTCAGCCAGGACTGGTGGTGTGCGCCTGTGATCCCAGCACTTG